TCGAGAAGATTAATTAGACACAGCTAAATTGGCTAACCAATTATTTAAGATGGAAAGATTTGCATTTCAGCAGAATTTAAATAAACAAAAGCAGGTAAACTCATTGTCAGGTTAGAATTAAAACAATTAATAACTTTCACGGTGGTACAAGTCATGATAAACCAAACAGGTTTTGCACAGGTTCTGTGTGGTTCCCTACAAAAGTCAAGAACTGACTCAGAAAGCACCACGAGAGCATCCACTCAGTGCCTAGCAACAGTTTGGGAAGTTGAGAAAATGTTTAGTCACATTCATACAACAGGATACGGAAGGAGGACACAGAATTTAAAATTTGCCTCTCCAGTAAAACACTGAATTTGGTTAACTTCCTTAAAAGAAACCTTTCAGAGGAAAGTCATAATCCTAGAAGATACAAGGAGCATATGAAGGACTGGGATTTTCTGATGATTCTCTCATGCAAGACTCTTTCTCCTTATCAATGCAGTAAGTCTTCCAAGAAACACGTCCTCCTTTCCTGGCGCTCTGTCTTTCCCAGACCTGTGTGAGCACAAATCTTCATATCTAGTAAGTATGATAAAAGGATAACGTTTTCTCTATGAAAGAACTAGATTTTTTCTCTTGTGAGTATGTTCAAGAAAAAGAAATAAAAATCCCTGGAGGCATACAGCTCTTCGAGTGAGCTTTCTTTGGCAGAGACTGTAGGGTCTCCCAGAACCCTCTCACTGTGATGAACAAGGGAATAAAGTGTGGTCACAAAGGCTTAACATCACCCAGGCAGCTTCAAAGAAAAGGTCTGATACTCAACACCACAGTCCATGGGGAGATTGCAAGCAAAATAACACAGGAGAAACTCCATGACAGGATAGGATTCCCACTGTCAAGCTGTCTCCTTATCTATCTTTTGTGACTGCAGGCACCACTTGCAAACTTCAAGCTGATGGATTACATCCTAAATGGGGTCAAAAGAAGCACACAACAATTAGTGGTATTAGTGTGGCACTGCCCTCTGAGCCATTAATCTTAGAGCAGGGGTAACACTCAACAATATTGAAAACAACACATATTTCAAATCCTTCCTGTATATAATCAAATTCTGAAATGCACTAATATGAGATATTAGTAAACTAAACAATTATGTAAAATTGTAAAAAAGACTTGATATTTACATCAATTGAAATAGCATTCGTAGTTGTATTTGCCTGATTAGAGTCACGAGGACACTAATTCTCATCCTGAAAAACAGAAGCTGATTGCCAGCTGGGATTATGAAAGAATTCCATCTCTTTCCTTTGCCTCTCAAGCTACCAGAGTACATCTGCTGATGATCTTTCTAGAAAACATTTTAAGAAAAAATAATTTAATTTATTATCACTGTAGAAGTCAAATTGGTTGAGCCCATGATTTTTCATTATGGTATGATGACTCTGCTGGATAATCCAATACTGCAAACAATAGATAAAATAATCGTAGATGCTTACGTTTGTTCTTCTTTCACCTCCTTTCAGCCTCACCTAGAACAGTTCAAAAGGTAAAAGCCATATCCTCATTTTCACAAATTCTTTACTGTGTCAGCTACAGACAGTCTGGATACATTTTTTCTGGTAGAAAAATTGCAAAAATCTATTCTAGGTCAACGACTTCCACTGTCAGTATCATTCAAAGTGTTCAGAAGGCTCAAAGGAGAAAAATGAATTAGTAAGTGTTGGTATTGTGCAAGTTCTCTGAAGAGGTACTGACTGCATTTATTGCAAAGAATTAAGAAGTGGCTTTAATGTCATTCAATTCAGGAGTGTCCTTTTTTTACAACTGATCTCATGTAATAAACCCTGCTATAAAAACCAGCATGCACTTTGACTAGATTAAGGACAAAGTGACTACAGATACATAATGCTGTGGAATATAAATGAGAAGTAATGCCAGTGAAAGGCACACAAATCTCTGTGTGTACAAGACACCAGGCAGAAGAAAGGCAGAGATTTTGTGTGCCACGGTCACAAAGATAACTGTGCTTATTAAAGCAGTTCTATAAACCCCATCAAGCTGACACTACTGAACAGCAGATTCACGAGCAAGTGTGAACGTGACTCCTCCTGTGAAGGAAGGATTGGTGAAGCTGCCTTGCCTTGATCAGGTGAGGTGTGCTTGTACACTGCCTACACACTGGCAGCTCAGCTGGGACATGCTCTGCAGGAAAGGCAGGAGGGCTTCAGAGAGCAGCAACCTCCTCCCCTGCTCCTGCCTCCTGCAGTGACAGGGATCACTAATGGCAGCTGCCATGGCAATGGGGCACTCAAAGGGCAGGAGCACTGCTCCCTGCACTGCTGCTCCCTGCACTGCTGCTCCCTGCACTGCTGCTCCCTGCTCGGCTCCCTGCTCTGCTCCCTGCACTGCCAACAGGCAGGAGCTGACAGCTGGAGGCAAGAAAGGCGTTTTGCCCCAGCAGACTCTCCCATGTTGTCCCTAATGTTCTGGAGCAGTTCAAGTGCACTGTCTGTCAAAGAAGGTGGAGATGAAGGATTCTCCATCCTAGCTCTAACACGGCAGGAAAGAGCATCTGCCAGAAACCAATTGCTCTCTCCACAAAACACACAGCAGCCAGGGCTCTTTTGTCACATATCAAAAGAAAAACAGTCAGGAAGTTAAAAATACCTCATTTCCTTTCATATCTAAATTCATCAATATCAGCTCTCACTTTCCTTACAAGCAAATGTTCAAATCTGTATAGAAGACAAAACATCAAGCATCTTGAAATATCTGTCTCCAAAAAACAGCTTTCTGGAACCATTTTTCATTTTGTGCAACTAAAACCAACGTAGAGCATTGGGCAACAAAACTGTCCAGGACTGGAGCAGAAGCTAAGCAGGTGCCTGTGCCACACAAGGCTTGGCTACCTTGTCAAGTCTCACTCCCAGCCTACCACAAACCAGGGAAAAAATAATGCATTTCTCGGCTGGCTTGCATAAAGCAGAAAGTAGCCTTTCTCAGCACTTTTTGCCATGAAATTTAAAATGAAAAAAAAAATTAATGAAGTTGCACCAAATTCTACCCATTTCTTTTCTCTAATTAGAAATACACATTAGTAAGAAACTGTCAACCACACGGTATGCTCTTTATGTATACGTTATTTATATTTTAGTATTATTTTATATTGTACCTCATACAGTATTTAAAATATATTGTTAACTGAGTATTATTTCAGGCTTTTTTTCTTGTCTAGTTTTGACACTAACACACTGGGTCATTTTTTCCATGAAAACTCGGTATCTTAATCTTACAAAGAAAAACGTAGAAACTCAAATATCTCTCTTTGGCAAACGAGACCTGTCAGAAGCCAATGATCCCAGTGCACAGGATACACAGTACACTTGACAATGTCAGCTCAACAACAATCAAGAAATACTTTTTTCAGCTACCTATTTTGTTACAACAGTCTAAATTTTAACCAGTCTCACTGTAATTTATTTCCTGAGAGAAGACTGCAGGAGCTCTGTGTGAAAATAATATTTTTCCTTCCTCCTTTTTTTTTCCCATGGAAGCAAGTATTCCATTCCATAACTTATGCAGCAATAATTACACAAACTAAGCTGATTCTAAATGTATACAATACATGTGTTTTATGTGAGAGCATTCTTTTTTCCTTTTTCCTTCTGAACTAGAACATCAAACACAGAATATACATAACATTTGCTCTGTGTACCAAAACACAGGAACACATTATTCTCTGTCATAAGGATTTTATGTTTGAAGGTCTCAGCTGCAGAAAACCTAATAAAGTATATACTCAATTTCATAGTTTAGTCAGTAGGAACTCTCACAGCATGTGTGAGTCTTTGCAGAAATAGTAATGGTGTAACTTTAAATGTAAATGTTACACAAAAATATACTCAACTATAATTACACTACAGTTTCTGATTTTTTTTTTCCTAAATAACCTCTCTTAAATAAAAGACTGATCAACCACCCCCGAGATTCTTTGCAGAATCCACATCCCAGCATTTTTTCTCAATGTCATGCAGGATCAGCTATGGAATTACAGTGGAAGTGTGCACACCAACATATAACACCACCATCTGAGGGGGTCTGCATGTATTACCAGACATAGTTTAGTCATGGTTCAAAACAAGTCAGCTCTGAACTCATTAATTAAAGAATTCAGTTGTGCTCCCTAGAGAAGATTTTGAAAGAGAACCAAAAGGTGACTACAGAATGGCTGCTGCTTTTACAATATGCCAAAGATATTTTTGTAGAGTTGAATCTTTACAGAAATTAACAAGCTCTTGAAAAACGATGTGACTGCACAGGGTTTTAACTGGAAAACCAGTTCATTTCCAGTGAAACAATGTTCTTAACAATGACATTTTTATAGCTTTGCACTCTCACACAAGTTCAGAAGCATATTTGCAGTACATGTTACATTTCCTAGTCTGTTCACTATTTTATGGATTTTTAAAAGGACACCTTTCAATGAACCACGGTAGAGGCACAGAGAGAAACCCACAGATGGTGCTGGGAGCTCAGTCAATCAATACTGGTTACTTTCCTCAATTTGGTAGCTGTTGTGACTACTGCACCCAATACTCTCTCTGTGCTGGCAGAGACTGGAGTGCTCACGTCCTCCTGCCCCAACCCTGCAGCATGAACACGGTCAGTGTCCCCAGGGGCGGAGCAAGGCAGTGATCACTGGCAGCACTTCCCATCTGACCAACACCATCATCCCAACTAATACAAACGCCTTGAAGCCCATGAACATCAGATTAGTGATCAAGAGCACAGTCATCATCTATCTGCTATTTCAGCTTGTCTTGGTGGTAATATTTTAAAAATCTAAGCCAAAACAAAACTATAATACTGTATTTGATCCCTCTCTAGGGATCAAGGGAGAGAAGACACAGAGGCCAAAACTGTCTAATTCTACCTGGGCAAACTGAAAGGCCTGTGAAGGAAGACAACTAATCATAAGTATTAAATTAAAATTTCTTTTTTCCTTCTGAAATACTCACCTGACTTTCTCTTTGGTGTTTCTAAGAACAGTTGCAGCAAAATTTTGTGTAACACCAACCAGACTGATGCCATCAACTTCCACAATTTGGTCATTCACTTGGATCCTTTCAGGGGAAAAACACAAATGCATAAATAATAGTATGAATTCATGTGAATTTTCAGCAAAACTTAGCACAGAGAGATCTTTCTAGTTTGACCTTAATCAAAAGCTCAGTCATAAAATGATTGAGGTAAATATGAAAAGTGCATCATTCCTTGCACACAGACATCTCATAAATCTTCAAAGTTACCATTACAGTTAATATCATCAATTTATTATCCAGTCTCTTTCCTTGTATAGAAATACAGCAACACAAACTCCTGAATTTGTCATATGAATTAAATTAAATGAGATACTTTAACAGCTCTTATATCATTCTTTCCTAAGCCAATCTTTGAAAAACAGCATAAGATACAGCTCTGGCATTTCATGCTAATGGAAAAAAAATGTAGTATTTAACTAAAACAACCTGCTCATCTGTGGAGAAAAGTACTTATGTATCAGATCCAATTGTGACATACCTCCTTTAGATATTTCATCTAACTTGTTCCAAAAAGATGAATTCCCAGTGTTAAGTGTGATCTTGCTGCACACAATCATAAAACTTTGTACTGTTTTAAAGAGGACTCTCTTTTTGAAACCAAACATCTATTTACAGCTGATGCACTGTTTAATGCAGAAAAAGTTAAGACAGAATGAAAGCCATGCTGCTTTCATCTAAAGCAAGCAGTGCTACAAAAATCCCTAAAGTAGGCACTGGACTCATCTGGATTACAAATCCCTGGAAGATGACTGCTACACTATTCTTCAGAAATGCATGATCTCTAATAGTTTCAAAATAAAAACCAAACAAACTCATCCAGAACTAGAGATGCAAAGGGAGCAATTTTACATGGATTCTACTGATCCAAACAACACAGTTAACAAAGCAGCCAAGAAACAGCCAAGAAAAAAATCCTATTTAAATTATATGAAAATAACCGAAATTAATGTATTTAACATTATATATATTAATGATATATTAGTGATAAGATTTCTTTTCAAAACCAACAGAGGCTTCAGCAGAATGCTGAAGCATCTGGACTTGGAGCACTACTTTCTCTGTCAAGTCTGAGGAAACACTTTGCAGTTTTACATGTATTCAAGCAGAATCTTCCATTCTTTGGATTCCAGTGGTGAGTAAGAAATACAGTATTTATTCTTTGGCAGTCTCACACTACAGAATGTCACCGTGTTCTAGGCAGGATCTCCCTTGAAAAAGGCAGCCTATAAATTCCTATTTTGAAAATCATAGTAGGCATTTTAATATCAGAATTTTATTTCAATCTTCACTGAAATATTTGATAAATGCAGCAATCACATTAATACTTATTTAATTTTGACTTTTTTTTTTTAACTTTAGCAAACACAGGAGTTCCTGGAAAGTAACTTTTAAGAAGCTGGTGCCTACTGAATGGGAAACTGTCACCCTCTTGGTGGAATAACAGATTCCTTTGAGATGAAAGCAACAACACTGCACACCATCACCCAGTGGACTAGCAGTGTTCATACAGACACATAGGTGCTGTATTTCAGGTGATGAAAAATCATGTTAGAGAACTGCTGCCTGCAACTTCATAAGCGGCTCTAACTTGATTTCATCTAAGTCAATTTGTCCTTTAGGCATATTTTGTATCTCCTTGTTTCTTGTTTGTAGAGCTCCTAAATTAACTTCCATCTCTTATTTTTATGGCCACTGTTCTTCAAAACTCTCTCCTTTCTATATACATATATTTTAATTGTATATGAACATGCATACACATCAACACACAAAGGGCAGCCTTCCCTTTAGAGCCCACTCCAACAGGAGCTCCAGGCCTCCTCTGTCTCTCAAATCTAATTTCAAACACAAATGAAAAATTAGGCTCAGGTTGACAAAGCCTGAATTACAGACATTTTATTGCTTTTATCGTTCATAAACTGGTAGTTTTTCTACAATTATTTTCTAATGTCCATGACTTTAAATTCTGCCTGCAGATTACAATAAAGTAGCAACTACAGAAGTGAACCAATTAAAGATGAATACATTATTTGCACAATTGCTCTGTATGATGAACTGAAAAAAAAATTTGTGCAGACACAATTTCTCGAGTTCAAGTTAAGAACTATGTAATGTTTCAAAACTGTCCCAGTGCTATCAAAATACTTTAAAAAGTGAATGACTCATCACCACAACAATTTGAAAGAAGCAGCTGTGGACTGATTGATCCAAGAAAAGATTATATTTTTCATATTCAGTCTAATGACTGATTTCATATTTTTCTCACTATTAATAACCTCTCCTAATACTTATCAACATGCTTGCCTTTGGATTCATCTTGAAGCACCCTCCTTGGTTAAATCTTGCACGCAAAACCTTTAAATATGTTAACTAAATGCTACCTGTTTGTCTACAGTAACATGAATCAAGCCTGTGGTGTTAAATCACTGTGAAACCCCTTTGCACAGAATTTGTACTTCCATGGGAGACAAGTACTTCATATCCTAATTTGGTAGGTCTTTCAGTAAAAAATAGAACAACTATCCTATAGATACTGTAACGTTTTAAAATGTAGCTTCAGAAGAACATGGTTGAAGACCGCTATGCGACTATTTAGAATATCTGCTGCACCTGTTAAAACAGTTTTATTTTTCTGGTAGGAGACTTTGTTTGGCTATCAGTGTTAATGATTAAGTAGGCTTTTCATAAAGATGAAGTTTAACAGGACCCTTCACAGTTGATACACTTTATTATGCAGAACTGTCTGGTTCTGACTGGGAGGATTATATATCCCTTTCCCAAGTGAATGATCAGTCAGGGTCTCAAAGAGAAAATCAGAGTCCTATTTCTCAGCTGACTGAACATTCTGCCAGTTGAAAACCAACACAAATATTAGAACGGTCAAAGAATGATATTATTTTTTCTCAGCTGACAAGTTCCTTTCAGATGCCATCTAGGGAAATGAAAGAAGAGACTTGTGATGGAACATTAACTTCTGTAGCCCACTCAAACATGTGAATAATGAGATGAAAAGAAATTACAGATCATGACAGAGCAGCAGTGAGTGACTGATTTTCAACCAGAGAATTTCACAAAGAATACCAGTCGTGAGCTTAATGCCTTCTAACTGAGGTCAAGCATATCTTTCAGAAAAACATTCACTTAAATTTAAAGTAATGGATAAAGTCATGACATCCTGAGGTGTCAGCTTCTTCATTTCCCCTCATAATTTTTAAGCCTGAACTAAATTAGTACTTGGCCTTCAACTTGATATCTTATTGCCAAGACCTGTAAAGATACCTCCAAGCCCAATCTAGAAGACAATATACTTCAGTAGTTTCAGAGCAATGTTACTGAGCTTTGCAACCCCCTGCCTTCTAGAGTCTTTTGTTTAAATTTTTGTGGGGTTTCCACAGCAGAACAAGTTTTTGCCCAGCAGAAAAGTTAGAGGTGTTCAACAAGGAACATGTTACTGCAATGTATTTTTCACAAGACATCAAAGTCTTAAGAGTTTATTCCCACTCTTATTTATAAATAATATTTTCATATTGTTTATAACTAATATAGCAACATTAATGATTAAAATCAGAAAATGAGAATGCAGAGAAGTTGATTTAATTGCTTACATATCAGAGAAGTAATATTTTATTGACATGAAAATTTACAAAGTTAAGCACTGGGATAAAATGAAAAATTCTATGAGCTGGAAAATTTTTAAGAATCTCTTTCATTATTAAATGATTACACAGTAAAGTCATTTTCTATCTCCCAATGAGAATGACTTGGTTTTGGCAGGTATTGTATAATATATAGATAACTGTGCCCCATATGATAGGAAATATTTTATGTTGAAAAGGAATTCTTTAGCCTGAACATACCAAATAAGCAATTCTAGAAGCAAGCAAGTTTTATGTGAGCATCACGTCAGACTACACACACCAATTCACTTCTTTAGAGGGCAAGATTAATGGTACAGCTTCCTATTCCAATTAGTTAATGTACTTCCAGTGCTGTAGGTGTGAAAACTGAACTCCAGAGCAGAAGACTATCCAAAGTAAAAAATAGAAAGTAACAGTCTGTGTTAGTAAAGTTGAAAGAGTATATTTAGTAAAAGTTTAAAAATTCAGATACATGAATTATTTCCTTAATCATAGAATAATGAAGGTTGAAAAAGATCTTCCTAGATGAACCAATTCAGCCACCAACTAAGCAACTCAATCACTCCTAAAGCACATCCCAAGTGCCACATCCAGGTGCCTCTTTAACACTTCCAGAGACAGTGACTCCAGCACCTTTCTGGGCAACTTATTCCAATGACTTTTTCACTTAAAAAAAGCTCTAATATTTAATCTCACTTGACACAACTTAAGGCCATTTCTTCTTATCTTTTCACTTGAGACATGCCAGAAGAGACCGACCTCCACCTGGTTACACCCTCCTTCCTGATGGCTGTAGACTGTGGTAAGGTCTCCCCAGCCTCCTTTTCTCCAGGTTAAACACCCCCAGCTCCCTCAGCTGCTCCTCATAAGACTTTGCTCCAGACTCTTCCCCAGCTTTGTTCCCCTTCCCTGGTCACACTCCAGCCCCTTAATGTCTTTCTTGTAGTAAAAGGCTCAGAGCTGGACACAGCACTCAAGGTGTGGCCTCACCAGTGCCAAGTACAGGGGGACAGTCACTGCCTTGGTCCTGCTGGCCATGCTATTGCTGATCCAGGCCAGGATGCCTTTGGCTTTTTGGCCACCTGGGCACACACTGGCTGATATCCAGCTGCCTGCCAACCAGCACCCCAAGTCCTTTTCTGCTGAGCAGCTTCCAAGCAGCTCCTCCCCCAGCCCGTGGCACTGCCTGGGGCTGCTGTGACCCAATTGCAGGACCTGGCCCTTTGCCTTACAGAACCTCATGCAGCCCATCGACCCAGCCTGCCAACATCTCTTTGTAAGGACATCAAATGTAGAGAGCCCAAATAATCAAATGCTGAACAGAAGTCTTTTTTTAAAGTATTGCCTATCTAAAGCTGGCTTGAAGCCAATTGAACAAGTGGGAGCTCAACACCTTCAGAATCTAAACTACCTTCAAAAGTGTTACAGAGTTTAGAATCAGCAGCCTTACTCATGCTAAAGCATCTGGGTAATCAGCAGTCACTAAAACCTAAAACATATTTTTGGCAAATTTGTTCTTCTTTAAACTCATGGTACCAATTTAGTGTCTTCTCATAACATCAGGGATTTGAACCTTACCAATGAAGTCTACAAACTTTACAGCTTGGATTACCATGACATACATTAAGCAAATAACTATTCCCTATAAAAATCATAATTTAAAGTAACTATTGCTGATAGAATTTCCAAATACAAAGTCTAGTTTACCTGCCATCTCTTTCTGCTGTCCCACCCTCTGTTACTGTTTTGACAAATATTCCCAGTTTTTCAAGGCCTGCATCAGCTCCAACTCCCATTCCAATAATGCTTATGCCAAGTCCATCTTCATCTGTGAAAAAGGCAAGAGAAAGCAGAAACTTCTTACATTTATCTGTACAGTTATTTGGTAGGTAAACATTCATGCTTTGGTCCCTCTTGGCTTCCTGTGTCAATAACACTAATATTATTTTGCTTCCTTTTAAAAAATCTACTTGACTACCATTTTAATTACACATAAAAAGTATCATCTGCAGCCTTAGGAGGAGTTTAGGAAAGATTTTTACTCCTCCAGTGAAGAATGAACATACCACATCAAACACTGTGTAAAATCATGTTAATGGAGTGTCACAAAACAATTCTCTTAAGATGGTAAAATCTGCTTGTCTCTAAGCTCCTTCTTTAATTCCTCTCTGAACAATTCCTGAAATCCAAAAATCCAAGGTGACTACAACAAATTCGTGGAAAAAGATAGGCTCTGTAGGCATGTGTAGACTTCCTCAAACTTGTAGGTCAGTGTCACAGGAAGTGGAAGTGGCACACAGACACAGTACCTTTTTCTAGCTCAACTGGGAAGAGCTCCAGCTTTTCCACACGCTTCTCAAGTTCATATTCAGCTGATGCAGCCACTGGGTCAACTTCATCATTTCTTCTGTCATAGTCTTCATTAGAGTATGTATTGAAAACCTGTGGAAACAGATAAAAAATCTTTCAGCCACCCACTTCAAAAATACTTCCAAATTATTAAATTAGCTAGTATTTTTGTCCTTTGATATTGCAAAGTTTGAAAAGACTTTTAAAAGACAAATTTCTCCTGTTTATTCAAACTTCGGGTTTTTTTAATTTGTGCTTTTTATTCAAGAAAGCACAAGTACGGTTGCAAAAGTCAACTGAGCATAAGTTTTTACTGTTTTTGATTATGAATTCAAAAGGTGATCTTTAATGTCTACATTTTTCTATGCATACAAATAATTAAAATACTTAATTTAACTCATTAAAATGCACTATTAATAAACATTAACAGAATCAAATACATTGAAGTTATAATCTGTATAATGTTTCTATATTAGTCTTTAGGCCTTACAATATCCCAGTTCACAATCATCCAAAGCTCAACCTGAAGATTATTAATCTACATTTATATCACCCATGGATATCATAGAGATTATGTTCCATATTATGTATTAACTTTTTTTAGAACACCAATAAACACAGGCATAGGTACTTTTTAAAAAATAACCAGGTTTACAGGTTTATTTAATCTCTAAAGCAGTAATTTAACAGTGACTGCATTAACCTGATTATATAAAAAGTTATGCCACTTATTATCATACTTTCAACACGGCCTTTAATCAGTGGTTATTCAGACCTTCAGAAACATTAGTCAGGAAAAGCATATTTTCATATTTTCAAATTTTAGACATCAAAGTTTGCCAGCCTAATTCATTTAACTGTCTGCACTTGGCAGTAAGGAAAGAATATGTATTACTAGTGGTAATAATTTTACAGAGCTTCAGTCCCATGGATGCATCATATTCATCACTTCAAATAAAGGAAAACAGCTTTCCACATTTCCTCTTCCTCTTTTACAGACAACTTATAGAACACATCATTGCATAGCCACATTTTCCTTTATCACTGTTCCTCTTACAATATAAAACACTGCACCCTACTACCTAGCTACACAAATATTCTAAAAATCTCCAGAAGCCTGCTCTTTTACAGCCCTGCTTGGTGGCTCTGTCCTGATGTCCCTGGATGAAGCACGCGTGCCAGCTGGCTGCCCAGTGCAGTGACAGGAGCTGGGTCATTGCCACCTGAGGCTTCACCTACCTGAAAACTTCATTTCTTTTAAATAGTAAATGTATTGAAGCCGAAATACAAAAATACTTTTCAATACTATTGCAAATCTATTAACTTCGTTATGGCTATCAGAAAGCTACCAAAAAGCCCTCTCAGTTTTACATAAAGTAGTGATTGAAACAGAAAACACAGTAGTCACACAGTGGGAATTTTACCTCTTGTATTTCACATCAATGTGAAACACTTAATTAATTTCCTCTTCCAAGAAGACTGAGACGATAAATGTCTTGTAAGAATTCAAAGACCTTTCTCACATTGATTTTTAGTCATGATTCAAGAAAAGGCTGCTTTAACTAAATTCTGCTCCTAGAAAGCCTTCATAAATACACGCAAAGCCTAAGTAAAACAAGACACATACTTAATGCTGTCCAATGCTGCTGAACTTTTTATGCTGCTTTAGTATGTGTAAGACTTGGGAAAAGACACTGATACAGAAACAAGTAATGAGGAGAAATACAATTCAAGGCTACCATTTCTAGCCTGACTAAAGAATAGACAAAATCAGCTGGAAGAGTCCACTCAACAGCAATGAAAAAGTGTTACAACCTCCCTGGCAGCTTCCCTTCTCCGTGATTTGGCTTTAAAGGCAGTGGTTTTTACCCAATAAGGGTTCCATGTTTAAGCTCAGCCTCATTCATACTGACATCAACTAAAATAAGAATCAATCAATAGAGTGAGACCCAACAAAAACATTACTGAGCTAAGGTTTGACCATAAACCTTTAGGTTTGAAATGCAGCACACATGCAAGGAACAGCTTAAAAACAACAGCTGTGAATTTAGCTTGAATCATCTCATTTATTAACACAATGAGAGAGACCCATGCCTGAAATGTAAATGGAGATGAATTGCATCAATGTAAAGGGAGATACTGCTTGCTGGAGACAAAGAACAGCTGAGAGAGAGGTATAGGGGGAAATTATGTAACAAAATAAGTATATTTATTTCTGGATTTCTGTTAACTGGCACTACTCTTTTCTTTGTGTTCAATGACTGACATGAGAATATTGTGGAAGCAGTTTTAGATTTGTTACAAAATGAATGGATATACTTCAGGATACTTTCCTTTGAAAGCATCAAACCATATACTGAATTTGGGATTGGGATGATTTTTCTTGAATCAGATTAGACAGAAGAGATGGCTTCCTGGATTGTGCTCACTGTTTTGGAGTATTTTGATAATCTCACTAAAAAAACCCTAAATATACTGTTGGTGATGAAAAGTTATCATTATGTCTCCAAATACATCACACCACACTTATCTAGTACCTCACCTAAGCATTCACTGTGAGATTGCAGATCCCTGATTGCACAAAGCTCCATGTTTCCTACCTGGCATTAAGTCACTGTCTTTTGTACACTGGTCACATAACTTCGTCCACTGCCTTCAACAAGGCAGTTGTGTCCCCCTGACTGGGGGAAAAAGGATATTCTTGAATGCCATTTATCTCATTTTGTGCAATCATATTTCACGGTTGACTGATTCTATTAAATGAATCTCCGAGTGTTAAACTGAAGAAAATTGGGAAATTTTCTTTCTTTGTGACACAGTCTATCCACCAGAGTAATGAACTGCTTGCTCAGTACAGTCATGAGAACGGTCACTCAAGATTTTACTGCATTAAAAATAAGATAAACATTTATAACTTCTTCCCCAAAGCATGGATAACTTGATTTAAGTAGAACTATTTCACCAAGTCTGTTGCTGTTGTGTTTCCCAGAGTTTGTGTGGGATTTCAGACTCATGGGAATTCTCTCATTCCCCATCATTTGACAGACTTGGTTTTACTGCCACTCTGGCCAAGTAACCAGTCCACTAAAGTCACAATCACAAAATATGCTGAGTTAGAAAGGACCCATCATAGAGTCCAACTCTGGGCCCTGTACAGGACCATCCCCAAGAGTCACATCATAAACCATTACTTACAAAGCAAGATCTTTTTCATGAAAATCCAAGATAGCATCTTAATCTCTGATTTTACCACTACAAGTATTTAGAAAGAAGAAAAAGTTTTCCTAGAATTCACTTGTGACATTTTCTAGGATTTACAACAGCACTTGTGCAAAACAAAAAGCCAACAGTGGTGACGTGTTGAAACAAACCCTGAAGAACTTCTGTTAACAGAACATCTGTGTTCCCTAAAGTGACAGAAAAAGGGCCATCAGTGATTCATCCCGTACCAATATAGTAACAAACCGTAATGCTAAAGAGGCAGGTGTAATTGTTAGGCACCCTGGGTGGCATCCCCAGGGAAATCATACACATGCACACAGATCATTTGGTTCTCTTAGGTAGAGCACAAGCTAGAGAGGACATGTCACTAACTATAAAAATATGATGCAGACTAATTCAGAAAAAACTTCCACATTTTTGTTTTAGTACTTCATCTTTAGGAGTAAGATCAGAAGGATGAAATTATCCCTGATTATCCCTGAAAAAAGCCAAAGTTGCCTAAGTTTGGGTTTTTTCCCATAGCTCTTAACTACATGATTTACAGAATTTAGCTAACGGTAACCAGTAGGTAGTGACAAGTTTTTTCTGTGTTTTTTTTTTTTCTTTTTGTTTATTTTGGTGTGGGGTTTTTTATTTTACTTTTTTAAACAAGTCAGAACGGAGATAACTTTAAAGAATCACATGGGCTATCACCCCATGTAATACCAGCTTGGTGCTACATAAACCACAATATTAGTGTTGCATACTATAAACTGTGCAACATAAAATTTGTCGTATCTGATGTAAGGCTGAGAGAATTTGGGTTGTTCAGCCTGGAAAAAGAAGGCTTACAACACCTGAAGAGAGCCTACAAAAAAGATGGAGAGAGACTATTTACAAGAGCATGTAGTGACAGGACGGGGGTAATACATTCAAACTGCAAGGGAGTAGATTTAGATTATCTATAATGAAGGATAACCTCTCTGGTTCTGCTGAAGAAGCTAAATGAGGAAATCACAATTTAACCATTACCTTCTGCTTTGAAATCTTTCTCCAGCATAACGTCAGGGAGAAGAAGCAGCTCTGGCAATGTCTGAAATCAGTGACTATTTTTTTAAAAAGTTTTTTTCTCTGCAAAGTGGTTGCTTTGTCACAGTCAAAGGCAGTGAGTCAGTGAGGAGGCTTCCTCCAGCTTTCCTGGCTTCATGCTCCTCTAAAGCCTGTGTGGGCATCAGCCGTCACTAATGCTTCAGCAAGGAAGCGTCCAAGAGACAAATCTTCCCAAGAAGCAATAGCAGGAATGAGACACAGATGGGAATTAGACATCAGCAATATTGAAAGAAACTGCATGTCTGACATCAAATCTATGCCTGGGGTTTCCCTCAGAAAGCTCTGTAGGAGACAGATATGTTTTAAGTGTCCAGAAACTCTGGCAAAGAGACCTGCACAGCAGATCTGTATTTCTAAAATCCTAAATTATCTGGGCCCTGGACTTCTCCATTCCAGAGAGACCTCTTCAGACATATAACAAACCAGGAGCAGCTGCCATGACACAACGATAAACTGTTCAATTTGTGGAGGCAAACTGGAAAACTTTATGTACTCTTGTTTTAGACAACTGGAACAAGTTACCTAGTTTTCTACCTGTTGGAACATCATGAGGACCATTTGTAGTAGAAAACCACAGTGTCACTGTCCTGCAGCAATGCCAACACATCTCAGTTTGGATCCATACACCTTTGTGCACTACAGCATGTCCCCCTAAACCCAAAATATGCCACAGTGGCATTTCTTGGTGGGACACAAGCATTAAAATGCATGGGCTGACCACACACACTCATTAGTCCTGTGACATGAGGGTGCATTTGCTTCATGGTATAAGTAGTTAAAAA